AGCTTACTGATCCCACTGTCATTATGGCAGAAAACCAAAGGTACTGTGACCATTTCTGACAAATGCATCAAGATTATTGATGAGAATTTGTTTTCAGATTGAAATGATGTCAGATATATATTTAGGAGAAACATTTTTCTTTACTCTCCTGTGTTGTCTCTCTGACCTTGCTGCAGTGGTAACAGGGGTGAGATGCTTTTTGGACCTGATAACCTTGGAGTTGCGGCCATGAATGCTTTCCTGCAGAAACATTCTTGTAGCATCAGTTGTCGCAGACTGGGCCTCAAAGGTTAGAAATATACACAAAGAGCACATGATAACCAAGTTCTGCATGTGTGTCTAAATGAGTGTGATATGTTGTAGTGTTTGCATAGGTTGTTCTTTTCTCAGTTTTTTCCTCTTGTGCACGTGTTTATGGACTTATTCTCGTGTCACCTCTGTGTCGTCACTCAGGAGGCCAACATTGGCTCTGAGATGAATCCCCAACAACTTGAAATGAAGGCAGCGCATACCAACACCATCTAATTAAGCCACGAATGTTCATTTATTTCTATAACAACGGTTGTGTTTGAGGCATGGGGGTGGGCCCTGCTTTGTGCGTTGTGCTGCACGGCCTTTGATTACATATTAATCACTTCTTTGTGCTGGCAATGTGCTGCTGAGACATTAGCTTTGATTAGCTATTAATTAACGTCTCTTGGTAGACATGATACCGGCATCTAGAGGATAACTGCTCGGAAAGAAACTGTGCTCAAAAACAAACAAGCCCAGCAAACAAACACACAAGCACAAACATTCAGACACAGTTGTTTTGATATTTCAAAGGTGCGTTGTGTTTCCTCTTCCTCTTCTTGTGTCCTCTCCAAGATTTCTTCCACAAATCAAACCAAATTATTCATGCTCGATGCATGGACTTCCTCCCAGTCCTGTCAGTATTCTCTTTCTTGTGGTAATGACTGTGTTATTGGAGTGACATGTCACTAACTGATGTTTCTGTTGTTCAGATTTAAGGAAACGTCTGGACAGCTGTGAGAACAGCAGCGGGGCAGAGTCAACGTTGGGGAAAGAAGAACAAGAGGATGGAGAAAGCAGAATTTAACCTTTGACCCAGGAAGTAGGCAAAAAAAAACACACACACTTTTAACAACACAAATATCCAAACTGGTTGTCTGAGCACACAGTCACACATATGTTCTCAGAAAACAGTGCGATGATATAGTGCATCACACGTTATTCCTTAAAAGTGGAAACACTGCGATATCTCATTAGCAGTCTGTGATTGGACAGCTTTGTTATTTGCACTAAGGATGCTAACATATTTTTTCAATACATAAAGTAAATTCCAGTAGGAGCAAAGATGTGTTGTTTTGTATTCTTATAAAAATGGATGTTTATGCTGTATCATGAATCATATGCGGAAATGCAGGTTTCTTTTATAAGATTTTACAAAGGGCTAATTTAAATGTTTTTGTACTTTGCTCTATAAATATTGAGATATAAGGACAATGAAACTTACTGGTATATTTATTATGCATGTACACCACCCACACCAGGGTAAAATAGTTTCATGTTTGGCACAATTGAAAAAAATTATAATTGAACAAAGTGAATGCGTGACACAGAAAAAGAAGCAGAAATGCACCCATAAAATTTCTTTTATTTTTTTCTTCCCACAACAAAATGTCTACAAAAGCGATAAAATATAGAATTTAACAAAAATCACTTCAGACCTTCACATTGTATATACATCTCAAAGGAGGACCCACAAAGGGCCCTGCATAGCTCTGAACCTCTTACTGCCAGATCCATCATATGTGGGTGTTCTTTCATTCTTGTGTGAAAATGAAAACTGCAGTAGAGCTAAAGGAGATGTAGTAAAAGTCAGAGTTCAGAGTCAAGCAGAGTCCCCTCTCAACAAATGAAAAAAGCATAAAATGTAAAAACAGTTTGTCAGTGTAATCAAATACACATTTTCCGTGGAGTTCCCCTTTTTTTTGATTGGTTTCTTAAGTAAACTCGCACAGTAAAGCATCTACGCCCCAGTCTGCCAGTCCCTTGTCTCCTCACTAGCTATGGCACTTTGAAAACAAAAAGAAAGTCATTTTTTGTGTTTATTTGTTTTGTTAGTCCTGTGTAAAAGAGGTTCTGTACCCTGAGCACCTTTCAGGTTTAGGTTACAGATTGCTACATTTTGTTTTATTTGCTCTTGCTGGGATGCAAAGACATTCTAAACAATAAATTAACAATTTTCAACACTACTCCAATTGCACGCATGTGTAATGCATCAAGAAAGTTTACAAAGCATTGGTAGAGCAAACATCATCTCACTCTCTGTTTCTTTGTCTCTCACACACACATTCACACAGGTTTTCTCAGAAGACGAAGTAGGAGGTTAGGGTGGAGTGTATTTGACTTAAGTGTAAGAAATGCATTTAAAACCAAGTGTATTAAAAATGTCTGCGCAATTTGTCTGGGCCGCCACATAAAATGACGACTAACTTTACTATGCGCTCTGATGTCAGTCTGTGTCGATGGAGTGGTAAAGGCGCATGATGTGTTCAGCCCCTCACACTGAACAGGCTACTCCATAACATTCAGAATAGGATACCCTCCCCACATTGCCCCCTCCCGCTGCAGGTTAAGGGTCTCTGATCCGGTTTAATAAGGCCAGTTAAAAAAAAAAAGGGGCTGTTCATTGACTGGTTAAACCAACTCACACATTCAGAGGTTGAGAAATAAAACATTTCAAATCCAACAACACATTTTTAAATTGTTTGTGCATAAATAAGAGCATTTTATTTTAAAATTCTTTCAGTTTGTGAAAAGAAATTCCTTCGAACTGATTGAACTGTTGTAGAATTTGCCCTGAAACCCATAGCCCACCCTGCCAGTTACCCCTCCCACCAAACCCACAATATTATGAGAAGAGAAAACACAAATAAGCCCCAAATGTTTCATTGTAATGAAACGTCATGCAAATAGAACAGAACAACAATAGGCTAATAGTAATAGAAGAATAGTAGTCATAATAAGAACAATAATAATAGTAAATAGTAATAAAATAAAAAATAATCTTACAATGCAAACATGACAGTAGTAAATGCCTCCAGTTCTTATTGCTACAGTATTTTACTTACAGTGTTGCGTTGCCACTCGTTCTTGCCAGCAAATCCCTTCTCACAACCCCATCCCACCCCTCTGATTCACAGTCTAACAAGGGAAAATAAACACATCACACACAAGAACTTCATATTCAGAGTTGGAATTCACTGTCCCAGGGGTGTTGTGATGGCGCTTGATTCACAGCTTACTATTGGACGTCCCTCACTGTCCCGAAAGCAGCAAAATAAGCAGTAAACATGAGTGTACAGTGGTGACAAGAGCACACTGACATACAGTGTATTTATATATTTATATATTTATATTGTTTTTCTTGTGCTACGCAACAGTGCTTGTCATATAGTCTGGGCTCTTAAGAGATTCGGACAGTGAATTCATGCTCTATACACACATACACACAGAAACACACTTATCAAAGCCTTGTCTGGGCAGATTCCATTGCAGGCATACGTTGGCAGCACACAGTATGCCATGTTTATCCTAAAAAGTTATTCTTGTATAATTAAATTTTTATTTAATTTGCAAAAATATTAAACCCTCTTTTAATGCAAAGTCAGAAAAAGAGCTGCTCCCTGAGAGATGCTGTGTAGTGCATCGAGCCTTAATGAGCAAGTGATTGTCTTAAAGAGTTACTGGCCTCTGATCTGGGGTTGGTGTCGGGGGTTGAAGGAAGGAACCTGTGAAGGGATCACTGTCACGGCAGGGAACAGATGCATGTGAATCACTTGTGTTAAATATTGATGTTCGTTTCCCATGCATCAACATCATTTTGCGCACCGCATAGAGAAAAAAATGTATGGATGCAAATGTCAGTGTTTTTAATGAATGCATTACTGTTGTGGCTTTCGTCTGTGCCTGTATAAATTTAGAGGTTTGGCCACTGTTTAGTGACAATTTGCAAACATCAGACAACTGAACAGAGATCTATACTTGATCAGATCTAGATCAGAGTTGTCATTAAAGCTGAGGTAAATTAGGTTGGTAACAAACTGTAAATTTACCACCAGCAGAATAATTTTGTGCTAATATTGTGTAGTTTTGCCACTTTTGGTAAATGGTTTATTTTAAAAGGAAGCTTCTTTATTGTCACAAATGCAATACACACAGAGCATCTAGTGGCTGAATGGAGAACTGCACAAACTCATAAAATGTGATCGATCAAATGGTTCCTTCACCACAAAAGATATTGATGACGACATCATGATCAGATGGATTAACAACCCAGTAAAACCAGTGTTTTCTTTACACAGCGGCAACATGCCAATCAACATAACTTTAATGTATAAAAAGCAACAAGTCTGTTAGTGCTAATAATTATGGAATTTGCAAAAAAAAGCAGAAAGTGATTGTCTATCACAGCTCTTCCTGTGTGAATCGTTAATGCAATATTGCAGCTTTGAATGCCATTTAAGATCATTGGAGGCTAATCGGCATTTTTTTCAGTCAGTGCTTTGATTCGTGTCCTAACCCCAGATCATTTTGTGCCACTTCTGTGATGGAGTGAAAACCATCCACACAGATGATTGTTAGACATACTTAATGATGAAGAGTCAAATATAGTGCATTCTATTTAAAACTGCTACCCTGTTCTAAACCGCTGAGAAGAGGAAGAGGAGGAAAGAAGAGCAGTAAGATCAGAAAGGCAGTGTGAAAGTTATTGCTCTTTAGAAAGAGAAAAGGGTCCTTCATATTTACAGCCCGGAGTGACTGACATCCATGGACTGGATTGTGCAAATAGTGTTTTGAGGGATGAGGGCATCAAAGCGCTCATACACATATTGAATATTGGAAAGCGTTTTTATGAGTTTTTATCCACTTCAATCTGTTTTTCAAGGCCCTAATACATAAGAAATAAGAGGCGGGGGGGGGGGGACCTTGAGAAGAGGTGGGGTTCATTGTGAGGTCCTTTTTTCTGATTGGTTGCTTCTGGTTGATTGTTCGAAAGCAGTCCAGCTTTTATGGGACGTAATTATTGCAGCTAGGAAAAGATGATTGATAGGACAGCAAATCTGCCTGATTCTTTTTTTCTTGCAAAATAGAATATTTACGTATATATCTCCACCTTGAAAAGTAGTAGCCATTATTTTCTTTTTAAATCCTTCATATGCTCTCTTTACATTTCTATAGGTTCTCGTCAGAAGGATGTAGTACCTTCTTTACATATGAACAAAATCCAGACAAGGCTTCTGTATATCAACAAACCCAGAATCGGCTCCCAGTTTTTAACCAATATTCTTTTACAAGTCTCAACTTTACAAATTCTGTACACAAGAAACTATCAAATAAAATAAAACACATAGACAAGGTATAGTCAGCCACAGTGGGCTACTGTATATTTAAATTAGGACTAACTTAACAGAACAAGAAGTAATACTGGAATCCGCTCTGCACTAGAAGAATATCTACAATAGCTTCTCTAAATCGACACTCCCTCCCCCATCCAGCTTCTTCAATTTCACAATGTTGTCATGTGAAAAAAAAAAATCAAATTAACAAAAGAGACATTTTTTCAAAGTTAACACAAATTAACTTACCCATTTTTTTCTTAAAGATTGACAGCTTAAAATTGTTCCGAGATCTTTTTAAGTCTGTACATTTCAGGTCAGTCAGTTCAGTTCAGGAGACAGGAGGAAGCCCCGCTCAGGTCTGTGGCTTGGGGCTTGTTTCATTTATATACATTCTTCAGCCTGTATCGGTGAACAGGATGGGATAAGTGCTGGACATTCCTAGTGTTGTTGGCGGTAACTGTAAGTTTCTGGCAGATGACTCCTCAGCCCCCGGCCTGAAATGAGGTTGGCGGAGCTCAGGAATATGCGGTTGCCATGATGATGACATAGTAGATGCTGATGTCTCGTCAGATGTGGATGTGGTCTTATTTTCTTGGTCCTGCGCTGGCACCGTTTGTTGCATTTGAACCACAGGCAGTCACTTGGGCATGGCCATGGCAGAGTTGGGGTCGGGATTGAAGAGTTCTTTGTAGAGTGGAGGGAAGAGGACGTTGACTGTTTCTGGGTGGAGCTGCTGGAAGGCCTGGAGCTCCTCAGTGTGGAGAGTGCACAGGGCCGACAACGTTGGGATTCGGCTGATCAGCTGCCAGACACGAGAGAGAGAAAGTCAAGGATCAGGATATTGAGACTGATAAGCTTAAGAAAACGACAAGGTCGAGTGTTGAACCTCTTGTTTTTCCTATTTTTTTTTAATACATTGCTTCACGTCTTCTTGAGGCCAGAGGACCGGCTGTCTGTGATTTAAGTCTGATATGATTTATCTCATCACAGAGGCATGGCCTACCTTAGCCAGTGCGTCTTCGTCCATGTGATTCTTCTGCATAATGTGCTGCAGAGCAAAGTAGATCTTCTCCTGGAGCTTCTGGACCTTTCGCGGCTCCATCAGCCATGGCCGATCTGAGTAGAAACAAAGTGTTGGTTCTCTAAAGTCCATGCAGACTGCGTCCTTTATAATTATAATAATATCAGAAAACGTTCACTGACCTGTTGAAATGAGTACAGCTGCTGAGAACAGAGCGATCTCCTCCTCCGTCAGCTGCAGTGAACTCAAACTCTTGGCAAAGTCAAACACCGCACTCACCAACTCATCACAACCTTAGAGGGAAACACAGGAGGAAGACAAAATAGATTTTGTTGTTACCATGGTCATACTGTATATGTGCTGATGAGTAGAAATACCTTACAGTGTGTTCATTTTTAGTACTTTGCCTTTACATTTTAACTGGCCTTACCTAGAGCTTTGAACATCTGCATGCCTCCGTACTTCCCTTCAAAGAGCACAGTGTTGTTGAGAGGGTTGAACGCCCTGCACATCCGCACCAAGACTACCTCCAAACAACCTGGAAGAATGGAGGAGAGAGAGGTTTGAGCCGGACTGACCAAAAGGAAAGGAAGCACAAAACATTTTCTGGCAAGAGAAAGAGATGTGCCCGGCCCAACATTGTCAGTCCAGTTGTCTAACCTGACTTGAGCAGGAGGATCTGGTCATTCTGGCACAGTTCCATGAACCCTGAGATTCGCTTGGCAAACTCCACCACGTACTGGATTGCATGGGTGATCTGAATGGCACACTGCTGCCACAGCACGTCCCGGGGCTAGAATCACAACACACAGAGTTTAGAGTTATATATGCTATATATAATATACTAAAAAATCATGCCTATTTCACACTTTCATTTCTCATTTGTGATTGCTATGACCCCAGTAGCCTAAAAAAATACAGGTGCATAAAGCCTCACCTTGCTCTGGTACATCTTGACCTCTTCATAGGAGTGTGTCTGCCAGGCTAGCTGCTGCAGCTCCTCTGCTGTGTACTGACATGTCTCCAAGTGGGACTTGATGATATTCTGAGCGATACGGTCTGGAAGAGAGGATTTATATTCATTTATTCCTTTCCAAACAGAGTGTCCATTCCTTTATTTAATAATTCATACTTTTTATACAGTAGAATATGGCATGTGTGTGAGTAGACGAGCATGTCATCTGCACATGATACTGTAGGTGCTATGATCTATGTGTTCAAGATATAGAGGAAGAGATTTTCTTGCCTTTTTACCATTTTATTTAACATTCCCTTGGATTTGTGTTAAGTGCTTAATTTGAATTTATTCTTAACATGTGCCTGAGCTGTACATACAGTAATATGACACGTTGTCAGATCGCTGTGTAAGCCTGTCTGATCTCCTGTTTTGCACTCAGATTAGCACTCTGACTCACGGCCTCTACCAGAACTACTTTGTGGGTAACTGTTCATTTTCCATGCGGATAATTCATGCAGATTTAAAATGATGAACCATGTGACTGTGTCTGTCTCACAACATATTATGCAGTCTTTACCCAGCTCTCCCATGCTGACGTTATTTGGCCCCAACTGACTGTCCTGGTAGCCTCCGTAGCTGAACAGGTTGGGCACTGGCGTCAAGTCGTACACAGGCTCCTGCTTAATGTGCTTCATGCCCGACATGTCCAAACCCGACTGGTCTGGAGACGGCTGAGTGGAATCCATCCCATAGTAGCCTCCTGGGACTCCGCCTCCATTACCATGGCCACCTTTGGGCAGCTCAATGACGTGACCATTGGCGTAGGTGCCCCCAATCTCATGGTTAAGGGTGGACAGTCCATTGGTGAGGCTGGATGAGTAAACACGAGCCAGAGCTTCTGCTTCGCCTGTCTGCTGCTGCCGCTGCTCCTGCAGCCGTGCCTGGTGCTTCTGGACCTCTGCATACAGGCTGTCACGTTGCTTCTTGGACATGCGGCCAAACTTTACCGCTGTATGGAGAGAAAATACAAGATAGAGACAAGAAATTTTAAAAGCTGCCACAACATTTCAGCTCCACTGGGTAGCATGAATCTGTTCGAAACAAAGGATTTAAAAGTTTATCCTTGGAGAACACGTACTTAAGATATTCAGTGATTACTGTTTCTGTTTTTACAGATATAAAAACATTGGGCCTCACCATCTCTTGACATTCCTAGGGCGAGACATTTCTGCAGGCGGCAGTGTTGGCAGCGGTTGCGGTTTGTTCTGTCGATGAGGCAGTTCCTCTGGCGGGGACAGGAGTACGCTGCATTATTCTGCTGACTCCTTCTGAAGAAACCCTGGTTACACGACGACAAAAAGCATGAATACAGACGTGCACCCATAGAGCACATAATGTGCATGAGCGTGCAAATTTCTGAGTCAAAACAAAGCAAAACAGGCTCTGATGAAACGATGCATGAACTCACCTTACATCCTTCACACGTAATGACTCCGTAGTGGATACCTGATGATTTGTCTCCGCAGATTTTGCATGGTATAACTTCGATTTGGGCTGCAAATGACAAGGGGAGATAGAAAGTCTCAGTTGGAGGTCTAATTTGAGGTTAATGAACAGCACGTAACCTGGTATGTAGGACCTAATGCAGGTTAGAGAGTGTTTGTATCTGTGTGCAACTTCACCAGGGCACAGTGACATTTTGTATGTCTTTGTAGGAGTTTTTTTAATGACTTGGACGTCAAGGACTCCATTTGTGGACGCGCGGTACATTCACACCCACGTTAATAACAGGACAACAATAATTGTGTGTGTGTGTTACGCTTGAAGGAGAGACCCCTGCAGGCTAGAAAGGTTACCCATAATGAGAAAACTGGTTGCATCACTGAAGGACCTCACTTGTTCTTCCACATGTTACACACACACCCACACACACATGCATACATGCACACACTGAGTTTTAGTAATTAATGTACAACTACAACTGTACTACTTTTCATTGGTGTTGAATATCTACTCACTGTGTATAGGTAGCTCCATGTACAGATCAACCAAAGGCACAGAATATGAACTGCTGAGAGTATTTCAGTGTAATACACAGACGAATTTGCAAGCAGTGTCTTTGAAGTGATAATCCATAATATATGGAAAGTGAAAGCCGCAGTTCCTGTTAAGAGATATGAGATGGATGTGGAGGTAGGCAGGTATGTCTGCTGAGATGGCACACTGTCTATAAAGAGATTAGACAGCCCATCTAATCCTAAATTATTACCCGACGAGCATGGTTCCCTCCTCTGCTCAGCACTGGCTTAGCCACAGCTGAAATAGCCATTCACATGTAATCTCCTTGAAAAGTCCCACTTGTAGGAAATTGCAAATTTTATGAACTAACCCCCCGGGACAGACAAAGTCAACAAGCAGCGCAACGTACAGCTTTTCAGTTTCACAGTTTATATTTGCAGACGTTTTGCTTAGTTGACCCTCAGCCTCATGCACATCTATCTATCTATCTCTCTACCTATCTATCTACCTATCTACCTATCTATCTATCTATCTATCGATCTATCTATCTATCTATCTATCTATCTATTACCCTAGACATGTGTAGATTTACATGTAAGTGTGTCTGTGTAGGAATGAGTGTGCAGTATATATAATTGGATCATCCCCTATGCAGCTCAATGGAGACAGTTCTGTTTGTCCAAGTGACTAAGCAGGTGGAGACAGTCACTGCTGTCTATACACACTGTCTGTAGTCTATAGCAGCCGCTCAGGGAGTTTCACTGTTCCACTCTATATGATCAAAACCCTGCTTTATTGGACAGAGACTCACAGCTGGTGGGTCTGTGAGGGGCAGCTGATTCATGTTAATTAGTTTCTATATTTCTCTGATGTGAACCTAAACACTCTTTGCAGAGAGACTGTCGAACAACAGAGGTGAAGTGAAGTGAGAATATGGAGTAAGTGAGAGTTCTTTACTTATTCAATTATTTATTCACTTGCTCACATGCGCCCCTAGTGTTCATTAGGAGGCATAAAAATGTCAAAGTAAAAACTATTCACTGTTCCTCACATCTACTGCATTGTGTGTTGTTTATTTGGGGTCTAGTGTCCTAATTTATCTCTTGTCAGATTATAATTGACGTGACAACGTACAGTACCTCAAACCCAGAAATGCATCTTTGTGTCTTGTCCCAGGCACACGTTGCAGACAGTCTGTGAATGAATGACGTGAACGAAACCACACATGGTTTGACTTTGTGCTTGCTGTAGCACAGTTCATGTTGAAAGTTCTGGTGCTGCTCAAGATGTGACCCAGTTCCACCAATTCCAGGCCAACTGGCTGCAAACTGGGTCAGAGCAGAGCACTGGTCTGGGACCACGTACAGACTACACATACACAAAGCTGTCAATGAACATGGCCTATAACTCACTATTTATAGACTGTAAAACAGGTCGGTTGAGCCCGGGACATGGGCTGCTATCATCAGGCCGCATAAAAGCAGTAAACAGACGACAGGACAACAGCCCATCTACCATACGTCATTGCCCGATATTACCTTCATTCTTAGTTGTGCACAACCCTCTAACGTTTTTGCTTTTGTGAAAGTTTAAAACAAACTTTAAGTCAAACTCTTATTCCGTTTTTGAACATGAAAGTCTCTGTGGGTTTTGGCTAACAAAATGCGCTGGGTCCTCACCAGCTGCTTCTGCCATGTGGATATACATAGTTATTATCTTTGTCTCTTTACATTTTCCTACCTCAGAGGAGTGTGTGTTTCTTTTTTCTCCCCATGTGATTGTTCTCCTCTATGTATCACATAATTATGCCCAAAGGAGCATGTGTGTGTGGGCATTGCATTGTTTCCGTGTGTGTTTCGGAGATGGTTTGAGCGAGCATTTCACTTATAAGAAAGACATTCGAGAAATATAAAGTATGTGTACATGTCTCCGTGCGTTCAAGTGTGGGTGTGTGCATTGTCGAGAGTGTTGTTGTGCTCACTGCCAGCGGGGACTGTCAGGTAGGATATAGGGAGATGGTCATGACAGCATTGCGGTTGCCAGGGTGACCACCCACTCACTGCACTCGTCTGGCTGTCACTGCGATGATGTGCTAAGCTGTCACACTCTGAAAGGAAGTGATGTCATCAGTGTGTGCAGCCAACTCAACTGTTCGTCCTGTCGCCCTCTCTCAGCAGCGGAGGCTTTGTGAATTGTTTACCAAAGGACTCCCACTTTCACATCCAGTCAACAATAGACACTTGCCGCCTTGTTACACTGTAGCTGCAGTGGTGGATTATACATGTAGCAGAATAAAGTGTTATCTGTTGGGTGTTTAGGAGAGGCTGTGTTGCTATTGTTTCCACAGTTAGGATGTACAATGAAGCATTTTGGGTGTTTGATTTCATGGTTTTACTTTTAGCTTCAAAGCTCTAGTAGAAGAATTCCTGAAATAGAGTAGAGCGTCAGAGAAAGAAGTGTGCAGCTATTCCCCTGACCTCCGTCCGACAGGCTTCCATTTCCCAACAAAACCTGGGTGCTAAAAAGTCACTTGTGTCTGTTTTTGTTTTAATTTTTAATTTTACTCCTAGCTCTTTCACAAAAGTGGGTGGGACTTCTTTCCAACCAGAGTTGATCCGAGCTGAGTGACTGACAGCCGCCTCATCCAGCTGGCGTGTGCATGTTATACTGAGGTTATTATGTAAGAGCGGGACTGCAACGCTGGCGATTCCTCAGCTAAGAGGAGGATCAGGCCCGCACAATCTCTTGAGAGAGAAAAAAGGATAAAGAACTAACTGAAGGTGTTTTTTACAAAGAGAAAGGCAAAGTCAGCTGTTGTATTGTGCACTACACTACTGCGAGCTTGCACACGTGCATGAGTGTCTAGCTGATTGTGGCCATGAGGGTTGTATTGCGCTGGCACGTGTGTTATGATAATTGATTTTTAATGAAGTGAGGATCTCCTGTGTATTTCCTGGGCTGGTCCTCTCTCTAAATAGAGTCCTAATTATCTACATTGCTCTGCAGAAGAAAAAAGCCCAGAGCCTCACATAGTAGATATAGTAGCAATACTTCATCTGGAGCTCGTAAGTAGCTCACACACAGGCTCACACACATGACTATGACATTACATGACCATTTAAAAGGGAAGCTCTCCCGTTTATACTGATAATGTAACAGCAAATAAAGGCCACTAGGTGTTGCTGTACATGTGTAGTTTACATATGTTTGTATTTTGTATTTCCTGGTCCAGGTAATACACATGTTGTGGGGACCCTAAATCTGTTTATACAGTCACATTATAACATTTTAAAGTAAAAAGGGTTAGGCAGATGGTAACTATTGTTTTAGTCGAAGTAAGTTTCCGGAAATAAACATAAGTCACTGTAATGTCCCCTGAAGTTATGAAGACAGGACTGTGTGTGTGTGTGTGTGTGTGTGTGTGTGTGTGTGTGTGTGTGTGTGTGTGTGTGTGTGTGTGTGTGTGTGTGTGTGTGTGTGTGTGTGTGTGTGTGTGTGTGTGTGTGTGTGTGTGTGTGTTTCAAACGGCAGACTGGACATGCATGTTTCATTCATTCAGCCTGCAGGGTGAGTCTTCAACAGAAACATATCCAAGGCAACAAACACACACACACACACACACATTCACACATTCACACATTCACAGTGACATGCAGTAACAATAACATGGTGGTATACACTAGAGACCGGTGCTGTAGAATCAAAGCTTTTGGAACAGTAACTTTTACCCAAATGTGAAACACTTCAGAAATGCAAACACAACTCCTACTGTAGTCCCAGGGGTTGATTTGTTGGGGATGAATGTGGGTGGTATCTCCACTTCATTAAAAATATGCATAGCTTCTTCCCAGTTAACTAGATATCTTCTGGGAAAATGAAGGAGATCAGCACTTTACCCCCCACCCCTCCTTGTTAAATCTGAACAGCTCCAACACTGGTCTTAGATGTCTATATACTGTGAATTATGCTATCACTGTTCACCATCCGATCCACTTCAGTCTGTTTGACTTTTTCATTTCTCTCTGAATGCTCCAACTCGCTGTAAGTGGCTGTGTGACTGGGAAATCATTCCAGTTTCTGTATTTCATGATCTATTTCCATCTCTCAGCATAACTCCGTCTTTCGCGTCTCTCACAGAGCTTAGAGAGGAACAAGCGTTTTCTTCTCCTCTGCCGATGATGAAAAACACTGAGAAAACTTTTGGTGGCGTGATCGCTGAGTGGATGAACACACAGCTGGGAATAGCGTATAGCAGAGCTGCTTGGGTTACCTCCCCTGTGTCTCCTGTCATGTTTTCACATCATACTGTCCCATTAAAATCAATGAAACACTGCCACTGCATATGGTTTCAAACAGTCTATGTGCTGCGTGCTGTCATACTTTTCTCTCTTCTCTGTCTCTTTTCAATGCTTGAAACATCTAAAAAATATATATTGAAGAGGGGTGGACTATCTGCTCTCCTTAAAACAAAATAAATTTAAAAAAAGTAAAGCGTACAGTATTTATCATAAATGCCATTGTTTTGAGAGCCCTGA